CTAAAAAAGACCACGAGTTGAACATAATCAATGAATTTGAACGAGATGATCAACCGTTTTCAGCTGTCCGGTGGTATACTCGAGAATGTTTCATCTATCACATGCTCAATCAAGCTCTTCGATTACAAGAGATCAATATCATTCTCAAAATGGGATCTTTTATACGAGAACTTCACGAAGAAATCGAACAATTGTACAAACCACCGCCAGAAAAACTTATAGTTTACCGAGGCCAGGGACTATCGACTATGGATTTCGAGAAGCTACAAGTGAAGAAAGGTGGGCTCTTATCATTTAACAATTTTCTATCAACCAGTCTCGATCAAAAAGTTTCTCTTTTCTATGCTGAAAGTTCTCGACAAAATTCTGCTCTAATAGGTATTCTATTTAAAATAACCATTGATCCCACTACAATCATACCTACTATATTCGCCTCCTTGGATAATGTCAGTCACTTCAAAGACGCGGAAAAGGAGATTTTATTCTCGATGCACACAATATTTCGAATCGGTGAAATAGAAAATATCGAAGACTCGCTCTGGCAAGTAGATCTCGAATTGACCAATGATGATGACCAGGAGCTCAAACAACTCACAGAGCACATTCGACAAGAAACACAAGGAGAAACACTGTGGTATCGATTGGGTAAAGTGCTGATGACAATGGGAAACTTCAACATGGCAGAAGAGATCTACCAGAAGCTACTCAAAGAGACATCGAACAACTATGAGGAAGAACTGTCTCGTCTTTATAATGAGCTTGGAGGCATAAAGTACAAAAAAGGAGATCATGCAGAGGCACTTAAGCTCTATCAAAATTCACTTCAAATCAGAGAAAAATCTTTCCCTTCGAATTATAGAGACTTAGCTACGGTTTACAGGAATATAGGTCAAGTGTATGACAGTACAAGAGAGTACGCGACAGCCCTAGATTTCTATCAAAAGACAGTTGAAATTCAAGGCAAATTTCTCTCTTCGAATCATCGAGATTTGGCTGATACCTATTTCGCCATCGGTTTAGTGCATGAGCACATTGGAGAACACTCTAAACAACTCAAACTCCATGACAAGACATTTGAAATCGAACGAAAATCTCTTGCACCGAATCGTCCAAAGGATGCTAATATCTACCGCTGCATTAGTGAAACACATCACGACATGGAAGAATACTCGAAAGCGCTCGGGTTGTATGAACATTCATTAGAAATCCAACAAAAAACTCTTCCTTCAAAGCATCCTGACTTCGCTAAAACCTACACCAGCATTGGCGAGCTTTACAGCAACATGGGAGAGTACTCGAAAGCACTTGAATTTTTTGAAGAAGCACTTAAAATCCGACAAAAATCTCTCCCAGAAGGTCATCCAGATTTAGTTATTATCGACAAATATATCAGTAGCGTGCACAACAAGATAAAAGAGTATTCAAAAGCACTCGAGTTCGATCATAGAGCATCTCTTTCTTCAAACGATTCTGATTCGGTTAATATATACGACAAAATCGGTGTGCAACACGACAGTACACGAGAGTACCAGAGAACACTCCAGTTCTACCAAAAAACACTAGAAATCCAACAAAATTCGCTCCCTTCGAGTCATCCAGATCTTGCCGAGACCTATACCAACATCGGTCAGGTGCACAATCAGATGGGCGAGTACTCGAAAGCACTTGAGTGTTTTCACAACACCCTCAAAATTCGACAAGAATATCTCCGTCCCAACTACCTGGATTTGGCTGATATCTATAGCAACATCGGTCAGGTATACGACAGCAAAGGTGACTACTCGACGGCGCTTGGGTATTACGAAAAAACGCTAGACATTTACCGAAAATATCTCCCTTCGAATCATCTGGATTTGGCTATTGCCTACAACAACATCGGTTCGGTATATCACAATATGGGAGAGTACTCAAAAGCACTTGAGTTCTATCAAAACGCACTTGGAGTCCGACAAATTACGCTCTCTGCAAATCATTTGGATTTGGCTACTACTTACAACAACATTGGTTCGATGCATAACAACATGAGACAGTACTCCAAAGCACTCGAGTTCTATCAAAAGGCACTTGAAATCCAAGAAAAATCTCTCCCTACGATGCATCCATATTTGGCTAATACCTACTGTTGCATGGGTTTGGCATATCACAACATGGAAGAATACTCGAAAGCACTGTATTACTATCGAAAAACACTTGAAATCCGAGAAGCTTCGCTCTCTTCGAATCATCCTAATTTAGCTAATATACACTGCTGCATTGGTTCGGTATATTACAACATGCAAGAGTACTCGAAAGCGTTTGAGTCGTATGAAGAGACACTTAAAATCCGACAAAACTGTCTCCATTCGAATCATCCAGATTTAGCTACTGCCTACAGCAATATCGCTTCAGTATACAACAAACTTGAAAAGTATTCGGAAGCGCTTTCATCTTATGAACGTGCTATTGAGATTGGACAAAATTCACTACCTTCAAATGATCCTGATCTTCAATGGTGGCGCAGTAACCTTGCTGAGGTACAAAAGCATTGCAATTCGCTGTGAGTAATCTTCTATATATATAATGTTCAGTGTCTACGTGCGTGTCTGTACCGGATCAAAGGTCAGGAAAGGCTATAAGGGGTAAAGCAATAAGGGGGTGAGGCTATAAGGGAATAAGACTATAAAAGAGTAAGGCAATAAGGGGGTAAGGTTATGAGGCTATAAAGGGGTAACGCTAAAAAGGGGGGAAACGCTATAAAGGAGGAAGGGAATAAGGGGGTAAGACTATAAGGCAGTAAGACAATAAGGGGTGAGGCTATAAGGGAATAAGGCTATAAAGGACTAACGCTATCAAGGAGTAAGGCAAAACGGGGTTAAGGTTATAAAGGGATAAGGCTATAAGAGGGTAAGCCTATAAGAGAATAAAACTGTAAGGAGGTATAGCTATAAGGGGGAAGGCTTAAGTAAATAAGGCTGTAAGAGGATCAGGTTATAAGGAGGTAAGGCTATAGGTAGGTAAGATTATAATGGGGTAAGGCTATAAGGCTAAAGGAGATAAGCCTATAAGGGGAGAGTGAAGTAAGGATGTATGGCTATAACGGAGTAGGGCTAAAGGGGATAAGGCTATAAGAGGGGAAGGTTATAAGGAAGTAAGGCTACACGGGCTATTAGCGATATAAGGATATCACGCCGTAGGGCTTCTATGTACATAATGTTGAGTGTCTGTTACTGAGTGAAAGGTTAAAGGTTTGAGGTCGTGTGCTAAAGAAAAACAAGTTGTCGTGCAGTATGCACGGGTTCTCGCTAGTTTGAATAAAATGGCAATACGCCTATATGATGATATACTGAGTGGCTCTAGTTGTTGAAGGTGACAATAGCTAGTGCTGACAAGGCAAGTCACACATCTGCGAATATCTGTGCACGATGAATGTTTGCTCGTTTCTAAGGAAAAGAGTCTCCTGTTACCAGACAAGGATCCAGATAAGTGAGTCATTCGATAGAAAAGAAAATGAAACTCTTCTCTGCTGATTGTGACAATTTTTTTTCTTGATTATTTCAACAAGCATCATTCGGTGCAATAAATTAGTCGAAAAATAGTAGGCACAATGCATATGACACTTTATGTGTAACATTCTGCCTAAGAAAAGTAAAAGAAAGTGGTTTTTTTTATTAATTTTTTAATCAAAATATAGTGAGACCCACCGATGAGTACCATCGCTCCGAATGTGTTAATAAACGAGTTCCATATGAGCAAAATGATTCAATCACAATAGCAAAGAAAAAAAATTTTGAATCATGACAACAGAAGATGTGTACAATGATAGGAATGAGGATGTGTCAGTCAGTATCCTCTTATCATTTTTAGCCCCACAGCTTTACGTTCACTCTTTTACTGGCACTGTGCGGTATAATTTTCTAGGAATATTTAGCATTTTCGAAAAAAAAAATATTAGCAAACGGTTATTCTAATGATTTGAATTTCGACAATATAAATAATAAGGATAAAAGAACATTACAAGATTTTTGCAAGGAAAAAATTGTGTTTTATATTAATAAAGCGTATCATAAAGGACTCATTCTTGAATTGTTTGTCTGTGATATTAGCGAAGATGGCACGTTCTAAAACTTTTGAAAAAAATGTGTTTAAAATATAGCAACAACATATGGGCAGATGCGAAACACCTTGAGGTGCAGTATTTTTGTGAATTTCTTTTTTTTCTGTTAACCTTGTTTGAAGGAATCAGAATGCATCAGAAGATATGCGTAAGTTCTCCAAGTTAAAAAAAGACAAGAAATAAGTAATATTAAAAGAAAATCATAGGAGTTATTCATTTATGTTTCTGCTGTTTTGCTCTCTTTTGAATTGTAATCGAAAAAAGTTCCAGGTACAATTCCATAGTGGGTCTCTGTTCAAAAAGCGAATGTCGTGACTTAGCATCGTGCTCTGCATAGGAGCTGCCAATTTTCCAAGGGGGAAAAAGCGGATCCCGTCCGTCCGGAATACGGCGACAATACGGAGAATCCAGAGGATACGGTGGGGATACGTAGGATACCATCACAATCCAGAGGATACGGTGGGGATACGTAGGATACCACCACAATCCAGAGGATACAACGGCAATCCGAAGGATACGTACGACAATATGCAGATAAAGCTTGATTTAATGAAGAAAATACGAAATTCACATCATTTATCAATAGAGATGAATATTGGATTAACTCTAGTAATGATTTTATATAAATGTCAACATTCTTAAAGAGTTTCTTTTCGTAATCTTAGGTTAAAGACACTGTCTGATGCACTGTAATCGATTTAAATTAAAAAATAAAGTTGTTTAAGTAGTGTGATGTTGCATTCTTTATATCCTAACGTTCAATCTATATATTCAATACAGACGGACGAGTTGAATGTTAGAGAACGAGAAAAATAACAATTTCTATTTATCTTTCTCATTAACAATTTTTTCGTTACATATCATCGTGTCAAACTGTTGTAACATCTTATTTCTATTTTTTTCGACCATGCCACCAACAACATTGAACATGGACATTACAGTCCTTCCTCCAGACGTATTATCATTATATGATGAATCTTTCTATGAATTAGTTCGTAAACTAGCTGGTCCCATAGAAGCCGACTTACTTGAACTACAAGGAATTCGTAGTGCTTATTCATTGATTCATACTGAGGACATATTTGATATATTGAAGTATGAATGCAAAGCATTAGATCAAATTAAAAAAAAGGCTTGCCTTCTATTGGACGATAATCGATACATCATCAAACCTGGCTGTAAAAGTAATTTACGTTATTTCACTCAATTGCTCAATGTTAAAAACCAAGAGCACTTGAAAACAATTGCACTTCGAATGAAATCAAAGCAAACGTCAAACGATGATAATAATAATAATAATAATAATAATACATTAACATCTCAATCATCAGCACAAGTTCTACCTACGTCTTCACCATTATCACCAACTACGGCAACAGGAACAACAGGTTTGTATATACAAATATTTGGTACAATAATTTATCCAATTTTAGTCACATATATTTTGAACAGTTACTTTGTTTTTAGAATATTTTAGAAGAGAGTATTAAGTACAGTCTTGATTTTTATTTTATGTTATTCTTATAATAAATCTTGTGTGTTAGAACAACTGTCATATATTCTATTGTGATCTGTAATTTTTTTCGCTATGTATAAAATATATGATTTCGCACATATTTTTTAGATATGTAATCTATGAGATTTTGTTTTAGCGTAGCTGCACACTTATAAGACTTGAATTCAGACATATCTATGTAACATGCTAATGAAGGACGGATAATACAAGATTTATTATAAGAAATAAGTAATAGGAGCCATGAGTAACAGAAGAAGTTCTACTTTTAGTCACGGTAACTTTGGAAAAAATAAGCGTCAATAATACTAACTGTAGATGTTGTTTTTAGAAATAATGAGGACTGTCTGCAAGTGCTTATGCTGATTCTGGATTATTTAAGTATGACAGTAGAATTTTAGTGGGATTGTCACAGACGCTCTTTGTTTATTTCAGTAATTTAGTATTAAATCGAATAATTTCTGCCCTTCAACATCATAAATTTTGTGCAGTTTTCAAGTAGTGAATCTCCATACTCTTTTGTTTTTTTCCTTATTTTTCTCTCTTAAAAATGTATGCAATCTTGTTTTCATAATAATAAAATGAAACCAAAGTTTAGTCTTCTTTTTAACTATTAGCATTTATTTATTGTGACCTAAAGAGGGTAGAATTATCTCTATATTCAACACAGTGAAATAAATATACGAGAAAAACAAGAAAAATAAATTAATTATTGACAAGATAAAATAATTTACTATAGGGAATAATCAATTTATTATGCATCAGTCACCGTCAAAGAAAAACTTGTAAGAATAGTCATAACATTATAGAAGCAGTTTTCATATACATAAAATTGTTTGGTTGCTACTATCGATAATGTAGGCTCATTCAATGAATACTCTCAATCAGGAGATAAAATCGATGGAATTAGTAAGACAAAATGTTTTAAAAGAGCAATTTAATGTGTTCCATCAAAAATGTATATATATAAATGAGAATTACGCATATTATTTGATGGTGAATCTCACGTGAAAAATTGATGACTATTATTATTTTTATTTAGATCAAATGAATAAAAAAAAACATTATGATTTTCTTACTCAAGCACTAGATGATTGGTTACTTAGGAATAAATTAAAATTAAATCTTTCAAACGACAAATTTATGGAAGGTACTGACTACAAATTAAGTTTATTTTTAAATCAAGGATCTGAAGAGGCTATTATATTATGTTCCTGTGGAGTTCGAACAAATTTAGCAAAAGAGAGAATTAATTTTTCTTTGAGCAATTACTACAAGCACATAAAAACATCGAAATGTTTGATGATGAAAAAAAAAAGAAAATCAATTTCAACTAATACAAATAATGAACATAGTCAATCAACTCAACAACAAATATTAGCAACTGATACAATCGATACTTCGACGACATCTTCATCACGTATTGACAATAACAATAGTAATACTCGTTTGACATCTAGGAAACGTACAAAATCCGCTTCGTACACTGATTCTTCGCGAAAAATTCGATCACGTCCATGAAGAACTATTATAGTGTTTTTTTTGTTAACATAGTAACCTGTTTTTTATGATAGGACATTCACTATATGTATTTGTTTTAATCTATGTTTTTTTGTACTTTTTGTACATATTTTATTTTCATGTAAGAAGTTCATAATTTTTTTTTCTGTTATCCACGATAGAAATCAAGTCAAATAGAAATATTACACAATATTACAAAATACGATAATAATAATAGAATACTTTCCATTCGTTCGTATAAAATTTAATTTTTCAAACTTCTTCTGCTATATAGTGAAACTATTTATTAGATAATTCTCTTGAAAATGATTCACTAAATAATGCTCAACATATCATGTATTCAATCATATGATTATGTCATATCATATTTTTGTTCATTCATTCATCCTTTTCGTATAGTAAATACTTGTTCGATTGAACGATGTACAGCGACCTCATTTATATATATTACATATGTATATATTTGAACGTTTATATCTATTGGTCACGTAACTAAACAACGATTTCGTTCGCGTTCTGTTCATGGACGAATCTGTCGTTCAATAACGGTTCACGCATATACATGAAACAGAAATAGACGTATCTATAAAACATTCCAGTGCATCTTAAATATCCTTCAATACTAAGACGATATTAACGATAATCTATTCTTCTTATATTTGTATACTTATATTTGTCTAATTTATACTTTACTTGTAGATTTGTTCAATTTTTTATTTACACGATCGTGTTTCTTTTTATATCGATAAATCATTTGCATCTGGTATATTTAATCAAGTTACACCGAACAAGGTACTCAAAATCTTTATCTAAAAGTTAAAGTTTTATTTATATGCTTATATTTTAGAAAAAAAAAACAAAAGTATCAATTCAAAAATGTATTCTTATTTCGAATTACCGGACGAAGTTCTTTCTTATCATGGTGAAGATTTTTTTGATTTAGTAAGTAAAAAATGTGGAAACATTGTAAAAGAATTGATGGAAAAGCTTTCTATCGATTCTGTTAAAACATTACTTGGAGTTGAAGATGATATTTTCTCTTTTCTAAAAGAAAATTGTAGCGCTCTAAAAGATATAAAGGAGCGAGCATGCTTATGCCTAGATGATGGCACAGTTATTATCAAACCAGGCTTACGTATCGATTTAGATCGATTCGTTGCGACTTTACGTGCCAAGAGTATTCAAAATATATCATTACAATCAACTACAATATCATCTGATGATAATTCTTCTCAATCTAATACACTAATAAATTCTGATACGTTGGAAGAAAATAAAAATTCTTTTCTTAATACCTTGATCAATAACATTACCAGTAACAGCAAAAAATCGAAGAACAATTATCGATATAATACAAAAGTGCAAAATTTTGCTCAAGCATTATATATTATGGGCGGACGCAACACATACGAATATATTCGTCTAAATCTTCCAGGTTTAGTACCATCGATCACTTCGGTTGATGGTTCTATTACAAAAGCTGGTGGAAAGATCGTTGAAGGTGAATTTCGATATGATGCTCTCAGCGATCTCCAAATTTCAAACAATTATCAACTTGCTGTCTGCTCCGAAGATTGTACAGGTGTGATCCAGAAGGTGGTATATGATGCATCTACTAACACATTCATAGGATTCTCAACTCCACTCGATCATGGAGTACCTGTTCCACAATTTTTTCAAACTGATTCGTATGATCAATTGAAAGAGTGGTTCGAGAATGAAGAAAAATCAAATCTTTTAAACGTTCATATGTTAGAACTTCTTACAATATCTAAATCGTCGTCGACTTCATTTCTTCTAGGAGCTTATGGAATTACAAGCAAATTTAACTCAATTGATGTTCTTCGTCGTTGGCTGTGGATATTTGAACGTTCTCGGATTTCGAATATTCGAATTCTTGCTTTCGCAACGGACTGTGATCCGAAATATTTACGCGCTATGCGCCTCATTACAGGATTTTTTGCTAAACTACCTAACATACCTATAAGTGAACGCAACGATGTGCTAGAAGTGAAGTTACCAAAGAACTGGTCTTCATGGTTCTTCATGCGAACACGTCAGTTATTTTTTTGTTTTCAGGATCCAGTACACCTCTGCACCAAGATTCGTAATCGTCTTCTTTCTCAATCTGCTTCAATGTTTATTGGAAACGGAAAAATATCAGTCGATGTACTCTTTGATTTAATTAACAACCAATCGAAACTAATCCATGGATTAGTAAAAACGGATGTCTATCCAAAAGACCGACAAAACTTCAGTTCATGTGCTAAAATTTCAACTGATGATGTTTTATCTGCTCTCAATAATGTTTCTGATTCTTATGCCACACAAATTTACTTACGTCTGTTGCGTAGTATTATACTAGCTTATATTGAACAAAGTACATCAATTCTTGATCGAATATATCATAGTTGGATTACAGTATTCATTTGCCGACTTTGGTGGGCTTGGTTGCAGTTAACTGATGTGGAAGAAATTTCCACAGAATATCAGGACAAAAATAAAGCTTTTTTCTTTATTACAAAAGCTGCTTATCATTCTATTGAAATCAATGCACACACATTACTATCAGTTGTTCTTCTTGTTTGTCAGCATGATCTGCCTGAATCTGCTCTATCTATAACAAGTTTTAATTCACAGATGTGCGAAAATATATTCAGACTAACAAGATCAATGTCTGGGACATTCTCATCAAATGTGAATTTTACTGTCGGACAATTTCTCCGACGAGCTGGTAAACTTTCAGTATTACAAGATATTGAAAGACAAAATGAACATAATCTATCAGAATGTTCTTTACAATTTCCTAAACATCATAAGCGACGTCACAGAAAAGATATGTCAATAAATAATCGTTTAGATGTTTCTAACAACATATTAACACAAAATACGATTGAAAAAACCATCCATCGTGCTTTTGATGATGCTTATAAGATGTTATCTGTACTTGGTATTGATGTAATTTTAGTAAGAGAACATCGAAACGCTTTAAATGAACTGAGTACATATGTACGAGTTCAGATTGAAAATACTTCTCATACTACTGATTTTAGTGAAAATTGGAACGGTTATTCCGATGATGAATCAGATTCAGAAGAAGATAATGTTCATGATCAATATGATGTAACTTCGGAAAGTTCTTCAGAGGATGAAGCTGATGAACTAACAAATAACTCTGGTCACAAAAGATCGCAATTTAAAGGATTACGAATCTTCAATGAAATTCCTGCTTCTCAATCGAATTCATACTTTCGTATTAATGTAGACGGAAATGAAAAATATATGCATAAGCAAACTGCCAGCTGGCTTCTTACCGATAATAAACCTACACTATCGGCAGATCGACTTCAACGTGTACAAAAGAGAAGTCGATAAATTTAATTGAAAAAAAGAAGATGATAGATTTTAAATAAATGTTGAATATGTGATGTACGAAAAGTGTGATTGGTGTCTGTGTTTTTTTTTGTTATGTATAAATACTGTGTGATATAAATATATGTGAAATATTGTATACATTGTACGTTTATGTTTTATTTATGACTGTGATATAAAATAATAAATCGAACGAATTATGTAATAGTTTTTTGTTTATTGCGAACTACTTTTTCTGAATAAAAGGACAAAAATCGAAATTGATCTGCTCGACACAGTAGTTTTAACATCCATCATATTGGTGACATGTTTCGATTTCTGATGTTAACAGTGGATTTTTCTTAACTCACTTTTTTAATCTTCTTTAAAAATTTCAATACTTTCAATGTTCTATCAAATGAGAATAATTTTGTATAACACAGATTATAGCATATAACAAGAATAAGTGGACTATGAAGAAGATACTGAAGATAAATATGATATCGAATGACTATAGAGAATCTATGACGATACGGAGGATCCATTGGGGATACAAAGAATCTATTGGGATACGAAGGATACATCGCCAATACAGAGGATACGCGCGATACATTGGAGATACAGAAGATACGCACGATACATTGGGGATACAGAGGATACAGAGGATCCGACAATCCGACAATCCGCTTTTTCCCCCTTGCAATTTTCGCTTGAGACGGAGAAGACGTATTTTTAATCTTGGTTACATGGTGAACTGTCAATCTAAACCCTTTTTTTGGACCTCTTCTTTCGTTCATGAATAACTACCGAAGATTCAAGACTAATGTGTAACTGTCCATACGATTTCTTATATCAAGCTCTCTTGCTTTGTGTTGATGACTTGAAATGTTAAAGGTATCATTTTTTTAAAAGGCGTCTCTACGATGATCTCATTTTTATTAGACTGTTCTTTCGCCTCTTATAGTTCAGTCTGATTGAAATCAGAAGTTACCGATACATATTTCTACTTATTCAGATCTTTTTCATGAGCATTTTATTAATCGTAAGATTTTGTGTTTGATCGTTTCATAAGTTTGATGCAGTAACTCAGGCATATCTTGAATCACCAAATCATATGTAATAGACAAGTCGAGGAAATGTGTACTGTACTTCGCCATATTCATGAATCTTTTTATGTAAAGGAAAACGAAGAATATGTGACGCTTCTTATTATATTCATGTTTCTAAGTTGTATTTTGTAAAGGAGATACAACATTGAAAGCTATTATTCTTTATCTTGATTTCCATCTTTAAATATTCAAAAGCATTTAATTCAATGGACATTATAAATTAAGAAGCGAACATCAGAGATACAAGATTAACTAAAACAGGAAAATAAGAAACCTTGTTTTTCTAAAACAATGTTGTTATTTATGATTTTTCTTTGTTGTGATAATATGATTCACACTTTCATTTAGAGAAAAAGGTTTGATTCATCAAATGTAAATTTGAAAGCAACTATGTCAACTAGCATGTGCTTGTTTGTGACAGAAAGTAAGCGTCTCCGTTACTTGTGGAAAGCGATACTTGCCTCAATGACAATGATTGGCTATGTAAAATTGGTCGTATGTTTCACAGACGCCTAGTTCATATTTCACTTGCTACAAACCTCTATTCACAGGCATATGATTTAATTACTTACTAGATTATGCAAGGATAAGGATGACAAGTAAAAAATGAAGATTTACTCCATGGCATGGATTCGTAGATTATTTCACTGTTAAACAGTAATTGAATGTTGACATTCACATTTGGAAGTTGTCAAAATATTACCAAAAAAAACGAAAATGATATTCATTGTCCAATAGCGAAGACTGTAGCAAAGATAAACTGTACAATAAATAAAAATTATATAGAATTATAGGAAATTTTTAAAGCAGCTACTGCTTACTGTCGTGTAAAGCTTCATGTTCAATTAGAAGAGGTCACTATACATTCGTATTTATACTCATAACTAATGTTTCTTGTTCTTGAATAGATTGTTAGTTATTTTGTAAATCTCTCGGAGTTATTTCTCATCAATAAGACTAACTCTACACTGCGACCGATTGGCAAATATTCGTTCTTTGTCAGCTTTTATTCTTCTTTTATTATTAAGATAATTTACCTATTATCCGACTATAAAAGATAATTTTCTTTTTATAGTGAACATATAATTTTAATTGATTGTCTTTATCAATATATTATATTTTTTCTTCTATTCGATAAAAAAAATTGTTATATCTAACATAAAATATAAAAAAAAGCAAAAAAAAACATGCTTATTTTTTTCTTTTTAATCTTTAAATAACAAAAACAAAAAAAAGTTAATGTATATTAAATCGACGAATATACAACTATAATATAAATATAGTTTTTCACGGTTCAAATTCAATTGAATCAAGTGGATGAGTAGGTTCATCATGACCACTATCGATTATTATTGTATTTTGTCTATCATTCATATTTATATAACGATCAGTGTTATTATAATGATCAATACGATGATTAGTCATTGTTATTGATTGATTATTGTAACGAGAAAAATGATCATTAAAATATTGACTATCTTCATCATCTAATATCGAACAATTTTCTTCATCTTCTTCATCTTGATCTTCTTGACCATAAACAAATGCATTATGACCAGGTCGCTTTATTTGTGCACTTGCTGGTGGTGATGGAGCAGATGGACGTTTTATTGGTGATATAGAACGATCACTAGGTGATGTATACGTTGCTGCTCTATGTGCTATAGTTGTATTACATTGAGGTAAATCTTCATCAAGATCCATAACATTAGACATGATTGGTAAAATATGACGTTTATTAAGTGCCGGTAAATGTCCTCGTTGTGTTGGTGCAAAATGATAAAACATTTGTTTTTTAGGTTGATTTTGTTTTGGTGTTGTTAGAACTGTTTCTGTACGAAAAAATGTATTATTTGTTGAACTAGAATTAGGTACTGCAATATCAGGTAATGGAGGATATTTTTTAACAGGTACATCAATATGATTATGATCTGATGATGAATTATTTGGAATAATAAATGATTGTTCACGTATTATTTCACGAAAATCATCAATAGTTGAATGAGTAACAGAAACCGTTGTTGCATTTGATAGAGAACACTGATGATGATGAGATTTTGATTCAGTATGATTTGTTGAACGTGGTGTGCTATTATTACTACTAGACATATTCACCATTGGGCTATCTAGAATACAAAAAGAAAACTTCATTGATAATATATTATTATTTTTAAATGCTATGTCTATAGGTCTAAAAGTCATAAAATACTTTCTCATAATAGATGTCAATAATTATTAACAATTGTGTGTCAGAAAAGTGTAATTACTATTTAACTATTGCCTATATAATCATGAAGATTGCGACTTTTTGTTCATTGAAACTACGTATGCATCGAGACGGGAAATTAAGTTTTACAACTTTTTTGCAGATGAAATTTTTAACTATCAAAAAAAGACTTCTAATGTTTCTAAAGTACTTGATGTAGTACAGCAAACATTATTTTACAAAATTTGACGTTAACAAGATTTGTAGGAATGCTTCTTTATTAAAGTTTTGTGAAAACCTTTCAAGAGACTCTCAGTCTCAGTTTACAGCTTTTCTTAAAACTTCAATCAAGATTGATACAAAAATCGTACAAATTTTGTTCATATTACATTTTATAGAATAATGTTTGTTGTACAAATACGAATGTTGAAATAAAATTGTGTTATATGATTCATAAAGACCGCATCTTAGAGAAAAAAAAACGTATATAATATTTGCTACATGCGGAACTGAAATACATCAATGATAGAAAGAAACGCACTTAGTGGTTTTCCATAATAATGAAAATAAAAGAAGCAAAAAGGTTTCGACGTGCAATACAATTATTGACAGAAAAAAAAACATCATTATTTCTTGTTTTTATTCTTCTAGAGAATATAGTTTATTACTCGCTGAAAATGAATATTTATTTCCAAAACAAAAAAAATGTATTAGATATAGGTGAAGTTTTTTTTTTTATTGAGTTCGTTGAAAAAACTAATAAGACTAGACTATTGTAAGATACACTCAAGAAATATTTAATAAGTTTTATCCTAATATTGAATAGATGCATTCTTTTTTGAAATCATTATTTTATTTTGTGATAACTGAGTTAAAAATCTGCCAGTTATGAAAACGATTTTTTTTTTCTATATAAACAAAAAACAAAAGATTTGATTAATTACACATAAAAATAGAAAATAAAAAACTCATTTTCTTCGTCCTTTTTCATATAAAACACTTACAATTTATGTTTGGTTGTCTATTGAGTGATTCTGAAATCATCATTTTTGATATGATTATTACTTGACAATGTACAATAAAAGAAAAGAAAAATAGAATAATAATGAATGTGAGTAAATATCAAATGGCAATGATGGTAAGAGACTGAAGAAGTGAAATCATTTTTTTTAATGTTGCTGCTGTTGGTAGGCAAATAGCAACCACAGAGTGAATGCAATCATTACTTGGGTTTCATTTCATTATGTACATATACACGTATAGAACCGTATCTTACTTTCAATAATCTCAAGTTTGACCACAATATGAATACATACTTTTCAATTACACACACAATTTTCTTGTCGGAAATGTGCATGAATGCATCCAAGAAATAAAATGAGAATAGATGTCAAGAATACATTGTGCAGACACAAAGCACAACCATCTGTCGGTAACCAAATGAAAGAAAAAAAAGATGATGATGATGATGATGTAAATTCGAGCTCTTTCTTGTGTTTTTTTTTTCTTTTCTCTGTTTTATTCATGCTATTCTTTATAACGACTAGTAAAAGAAAAAGAATAAGAACAAAAAAAAGTAGTAAAAGAAAAAGACACAATGAGAATAAAAAAATTGAGTTACTCTAACAACAATAATAACATTAACAGTAATAGACAAAAGTGAAAAGTAAACAGAATATCTTCTTATGTGTAAGTTTTTGTTAATCAAAACTTTCAATACATAGAATACACAAGTTAATTGATGGTATACTCGATTACCTGTTCATATTGACTGACATCTTATATATATTTTTTTCTTTGGAAAGAAAAAAAAAGTCATTTTTCTGATATATTGACAAATATAAAAAATACAGCGGATCTTTTTCTTTTAAGCAATCATGATCAGATTTGACAATATTATATTACAAATCGAAATAATATTTGAAAAATAAGAAAAATATTTTTTTACATGTTTTTCTTTTTATAAAAGAGCTAAAACTTGATAATTAAAAATATTACAAATTGAGGAAATGAGCCGATTTACTAGTATATTTTTCGGCAACATAAAAAAAACTAGAGAATGTTAAACGTAAAAATGTTTGAAGTCGATTTTTTTGTTCTTTACCGGCTGTTGAACAAATATTATTCCCTAGACAAAATGTCTATAATATTATGAACGTGAGAATCAAATAAAACTATTCTGTTAAATAACAAGTCGCTTTAAATTAAAAGAAAATACTAAATATTGACTATATTTAAAAGATTCATTTAGAACTATATCAAAGATAAGAACAAAAAGAATACTTGACCTTTCGTACTTATTTGTAAGGACATTTTTATCACCAGAATATTTTTTCATAAAATTATTACTTGGTGTAGATTTGAACAGAAGCCTAGTCTTTCAATAAATCTTTCCGCTGAAACACTGAACTTTGTCGTACAAACTGACTAGCCACAATAATCGATACATGTCATAACGAAGCTAGTGTGATATCGGATTGGTGGTCAATGACAAACAACCAGTAACGGTTCGTTCAGAATCATCGTTTGTTAGTAGTACCAAACCTAGAATAGATTACTTTGGTATTATGTGCCAAACAACTTAACTACTAAGCTATAGTAGTTACTATGGAGACAATGATAAATATGAATGGGTTAAATTTGAAAAAAATGATTCAATGAGTTTTGAAACAATTTAAATGCTCCTCGATCTAGAATTTAATAAAAGCAAACAGTTTCAAGAGTATAGTAGGTTACTGTATCAACTTAATATTAGATAATCAACTTCTACTATGTCTAAGAAACTTTGTTAACATCGTCAAAACGTCGTTCATCAAACAGTAAATATAATACAAAAAAAAAGCTGTGACAAGTGTGGAATCCAATGTGTTTTGCATAAGGACTGACCGAAATGAACAATTCTTTCTTTACGGACAGACTTTTGTTTCTGTGCGCCTCGTTGGAAAAGACATAAATATTGGCAAATACGTAAAATTTGTTCGAACTATATTAGCAAAGTTCATATTTGAGGTATTAGATAATTTACGAAATGTAATTTTTCAAGATAATGAAGATTCTAAATAAAACATGTGCGTACTTTTGAATTATGTTAAACACATTTTTTGATTAATTGAATTATTAGAGAAAACGTCTTAGGTCTATTTTAAAAAAAAATTCCAGAACTAACATATGTTAATATTGTATAAATAATAAAATTGATGGAAGAATATAAACGCTTTTTATGTCAATAAACTTATACGATTAAAATTAGTAATGAATCAGGTTGTTAATTAAATATATGGGCACCAATCTTGATATCTCTTTAATCTTTGCCCATAGTAGATTAAATGAATCGTGCTTACTAAAAATATTATTTCAAATGGATAATCATCAGAGTATATCTTCGACGCTATCTGCTTTATGAAAGAATATTAGTTAGTACTTATAAGATTGGAAAAGAGATTCTTTTCTCGATTCATACCATGGTTTGCATTGATATAATAAAATAAATTCAAGATCAACTTCTGAAAATGCAGTTAATATGGAATAACGATGCTGCTCAAAAACTATGAAATTTAATTGAACGTGTACTGTTGGGGATCGAAGTTGCATCTCAATGTACAATCATGAGTCAGTCAATAACCGTGATTGATGAATTCTATAAGATGATCAATATATACAATATTTTTCTCAAGATAACACTGTACAGTGATATAGAAGAAATGATCAAGTTTCTCATTACGAATTATATTAATCTTGTTGTAGCCTATGACGGAAAAGAAAATATTTCTATTACCTTATTATGTTATGAAAATGTTCAAAAAATTGAAGAGAACTTCTATTCCGAAAATCACTCAGCTTTTGCTATTATTTACAATATTGGCGCGGTACATCAATCAATGAGCAATTATCAGGTGGGTATTAACTATGGAATCGGTAGCATAGTATATCGATGGCTCTTCACTTAGCACCCATACCCACCGAGATTCATGTGTGCATGTGCACTCTCTGATTCTTTATATAGCAATTGCCATGAAATGCAAATGTCTCAAAGAAACACAAGTACGCAATTCATTGTCGTCATTCCATGTTGATTGCTGTTCTTGAGCTGCAACCGAACAAACAAATAGATGACGAAGTTGGAAGAAAACTTTCCAATTTTTTTGCAATGCACTCAGCAAAGCATTGATTAATTTAAAAAAGACAATTCAGTGTTGAGAAAGACTTTAGCAGACAAAATTGGCGTTTAGTAGTCACAATGAGCGGCCATCCACGTCCACCATCGAACAGAGTCCATCCAGCGTCCACAGGTAAACGGAAACAATTATCCAATATCTTTGTGTTTTCTTTTTTCGTAGGCATACATACCATCTCGTGATAAGATCCCTATGAGTAGACTCTTTTCGTAGTTTTTTGTTGAAACTTAATTAATGCATTTCAGCCATTCCTTTCTAACTCGTCCATTTTGAAAACAAAACAGTTGGCAGGCATCTGTTATTCAAATAATGTACAAAAATATTCATAAATTCAATATGGAACCTACAAGAAAGATAATTTCAAGAGATCAGCTGAGAATCTTTAATCAATTTTGATAGCCTAAAATTATTCAAGGTGTGACTAGTTTTGTCGAAATTAGACGTAAATACCAACAAAGAAGATAGAAAATTCTTCTACAGAAATCTCTTCAATATAACAAAAGGTTCGGTAACCAGCTCATACTTAATTCATTTATCGTTCAGATATGCCAATGTGATGCGCTTTGAAGCGAGATATTTTTGGCTGGATGCGAGTGCGGGTATGTGGATTGTTTGGGCGATGGCCGATATCCATGCCTACACTCATTTACACCAATATCTACACCTAGTACAGCCACAGTCATACTCATCCTCTTTGTGTCATATGAAAAGGCTTAGATATAAAGCCACTGTTTTTTTTCGTATGCTAAATGTCGTTTTATCGAAGAGCAATGCAAAAGCTAGTAATGCCTACTAACAGTTATGTAACCTCTGACTTAGGCGCACTCTTTCTTGCGATTCTTTCTATTCAAAGTCGTGTTATGCATGGTTTTGAATTCTTAGCAATCGCAACAAGAAGCGACTGCATTAAAAGCCTACTAGGACTATAGGATTCAAAAGCATGTCACTCTTTTTCATATTTCATGTGAGACTGTAGACATAAAGAATATCATACAAATACTTAAGACTCGTAAGGCTTGCATTCCATAAAAGTTGAGGCTATGTAGGGCATAGGCAATGATATAATTCTGAAAACTCTCGAACTCTCAATTTCAGTTTGCAATTGCATGCCTTTTTTCTCAAATTCAGATTGAAATCAAACAGACCATTGTATAATAATCACTTTCAATCTAAATAAGATCATCTTTAGATGGATGATAACTCGTGACTAGTTCTAAACAGCACCATGTCGATGTTTTTTTTTATCAAAGTCTCTAACAAGTCTGAATCAACTATAATTGTAACAATAATTTAAATAAGAAAATGAATTGAAATACAGAGCTTCATGACCCGAAAGTTTCACTTGGTAGACCGACATCCCTATGGAATGATTGAGAGAAGGGTACGATCACTTATTTTTCTCGCTATATGCTTCAACGCTTATTATAAAATCTTATTTCACAACAGAACGTCTTTGACTTATATTTTTAACTACTAGACAACCAACTACCGCCACCATCATATGAGGAAGCAACGTCTAATATGCCATTATCAACATCCCGAGTACGACCGCATGCCCTTCAGAACCAACCGATTATTATTATTCAGAATGAGCATCCTAGGCCACAATCGTATGCAAACGTGTTTTCTTCTCGAAGTGTCATTATAACGGGTATTGTTATGGTTGGCATTGTATTATTCGTTCTAATAGTGGTGCTGGCAGTGACTTTGAGGTCAAGCGGCAAAACTGCAACAAGTATTAGTGGCATTCCTTATATACCACCTACCACTACGACTATTACCACAACAACAACTACTACTACCACTACCAGCACAACAACCACAACCACAACAACAACTTCAACAACCACAACAACAACTTCAACAACAACCACAACAACTTCAACAACAACCACAACAACTTCAACAACAACCACCACAACTACTACCACTGCGACTGTTCGAACAAGAGCGCCTAGTGCTAATGCCGAAGGTTTGATATTAATCCATTTTAGGAGCTCATCTTGTTTATTAGCGGATATATTGAGTTTAAATAGTTTTTAGAAAAATGCGCTAAACTAATAGAAACTTTAAAGACCTTATCAAATCAGAATTGTTAGGAAATCTTTACAAGAATGAGAGCATTGATGAAATGGTGAATAGTTATACATGTTTCCTCAATCTTTGACTAGAGTGTTTTAATTAGCTATGAATTCGAAAAGCGGAGATTTCAACAGCACTCTGAAAGTTGGATATTCAGATCAGGAAAATTTACTAGATAGTATACAGGAGTTGAAAAACTATGACGGAAGAAATTTTTAAAAATATATCTTTTAATACCAAGATGAAATTAAAAATAAGTTACGATTGAGTTTCTTCATTATCTGGTCGTAAGTGTGTTGAATAACATGTGAACGGCAAATTTAAGCAAGATTTTCAGAACTATTTCAAGTTTAAAGAGAACTATACTATACCAGATAAACGAGCATTAAGACCCAATATGTTTCCAGTATAGATCTATAGTTTCAACTTCTGAACGAAATTGAAAAAATTCTTGAAGATTCTATTTTCTGTTTTAATCAAAGCTGAATTTTTCTTTCAATTCATTCATTACTATTGATGTTGGTATTCATTTTGAACAAATGTAGTGATAAGAGTAAGCATCTAATGAATTAGACAAAAACTAGTTAGATAAAGATGTTGTTTCCAACTAAATGAAAAATGCGCCGTTATTTAAAATCTATAGCAATCAGCAGTGGCAGTTGGAGAGAACGTAATACTGCTTATCTTTGATACAGATCAAAAATTTTAATTATAACCAAGAAAATGTCTAGTAGTTTCAATAATTGAACTTAATGAAATATGAACATTAATTTTCTGTCCTATGAATGAATTTACTTGGGAAACTTAGTCATATTTTTAGGTTTTATGACCAACGATTGTTTAAGATAACTTTCTTTGTTTCTTTAGTTTGTTTCGACGGCAGTTCTCTTTTAATGAAAAATGATGGTTCATGGATAGAAATGCGTAATTTAAAAATAGATGATCAAGTACTTGTTACCTATGAGACATGGAACAATAATATTCAACTTCGATGGAGTCCAATACTCGCAATAGATATTTATCAAAAATATAGACATCATTTACCTATTCAATATCTTGAAATTTATACAGTAATTAACAACACTATCAGTCACCTGCACATCACTCCTAGCCATTCATTGCTTGTGACAAAAAAATATAGTGCAGAAGCAGAATATATCTTCGCATCAGAAGTACATATTGGAGATTGTTTGCATACGACAACAAATAATCATGCAGCTATCGTGAAGGTAGAAGTTACTCAAATTAAACATGTTTATCTCTTTGATGCATACGCTCCACTAACATTTGAAGGTAATCTGATTGTAAACAATGTAGTGGTCTCTTGCTATGGAACATTTAAGCATTCAATTGGCCATTTAATAAAATTACCTCGACGATGCCTACTTTACTACTTGCTTCATCCAACAAGTACCTGCGTAGGAGATTTCAGCACAGATGAGAATTGCATTAGCTACGAGCAAACGTGTCAGATGGATATTGCAAATATAGCCGAGCAGAAAAGTGGTTATATTTGGCAAAATGGATGGTCACAACAAAAAATTACGTCGTTGTATAAAACTTCATCGTGCGTTCCCTGAAGAATTAAAATGTAAAACACGATAGCTCTACTCTTCTAATAACCAAGACTCACACACACCAGTCATTTGAATGTTTCGATTGATGTAATTTTTATTATTTGAAATAAACATAAGAAAAACTTGCATGAATTATGAGACTACCAATACAAATAACAAACAAATATTATTCATATCGGTGACTAATTTCATAAAAATAAATGATATAATTCTTAAATTTTCAAACTCAACTGAAAGAGAATGAGACAGATATAAATAAATATCCCAGTGTTTGTTCTCATATGGAATTTTATGAATTAATATGTCAACGACAATGCATATGTGAGATGACATATGAATATGAGCATTGTAGCAATTTAAATTTCAAGACTTGAACACGTCTATAACTATTGCGACGCATGTTGTATCAATCTTGGGTGTGGTGATGCAAGTATGAGTGTTGGTGGATGAGTGGGTTCAAAATCTACTCCAACACCCTTTATATTTCGCATAAACATTGTATTGTTCTTAAAAGTATTGATGTTTACTTGAATTTTTATTTATTTCATAAATTTCAAAAAATTATTTTAATAAAGAAGAGCGAAGATTCATTGATGGGTTATTATTCTCTTGTTCATGATGGATTTAATTTACAATTATTGCAATCACAAAAGGATGTGGGTGTATGGGTGGGTGTGTGTGGATGTCACAGTAATCTATTTCCTGAACACCAAGCAACACCCACACTCACATCCATATTCTAGAGTATGGTAATCGAAGATTGATGAAGTGAGAACACGACTGCAAAGAAGGTATATTTTATGTGAAAATAAACACTACTCACTAATTTCTCATAGATTAGTTCTGGTATCAATCTGATAGAGAAAAGCTATTTTGAAAAGGTGTTGATGAACACTTGAATCGCACAAACACACCTCACACACTTCTGCAAATAGCATTGCGCAAGGCGAAAAATGCACATAATCTATTTTTTTAAATTATAATGAAATAGCCGTTCTATTTGAAACTATCAATACAGTGAGAATGCGAGAATAATAGTGATTGATTGTAGCTTTTAGTTTTGTTTTCGTTAAACGTTTAAATCACATTGACCCTTCACTTACATGCTTTTTAAAGGATAAACACACAGTTATATTGAATCGACTATTTTCGTATGATTCGATAGAGAAATTAGTTCTGAATACAACAGTATATTATTAATGGTTTTTATGCTGCAAACATTCGGCTTTTAAGATTTCGATTAATTAAACATTAGGATTAGATTGAGAAGACTTATTTCCATGAATACATAAGCAAAAGAGATCGATTCATTAATGTTAGAAATCGACTTAAAATGAAAAAAAAAATTATATCTTATAATAAAATGCGTTTGTTTGTGTTTTTTTTATTTTGTTTTCTTTTTAGTCAAAACTAGAAATAAAATGGATAATAGCTCAAATTGAAATTATCTTGTCGTTCGCAAGATAGATCAAATGCGTTTTATAATTGTTGAGACGTTTACTAAGATTGATGCTTGTTTTCATAGGATGATTCACAAAGATATGTCTCCTATTTTCTTATTATATTTAGATATAAATTAGAATACTATTCATATTGACTATGATTTTGCTTGTGTAATAAACATATGTTATTTGTGTAAACTATCTAAATACACAAGTTATGTTTTTAAAACTTATTCTGTGAATGAACGAAACGTTTTTTTAAATAGATAAAAGAAAATAATAAAAATTTTTCAAAGGCATTGACCACCGACTTGCGTGGTTGTCTTTATGTAAATTATTAGAAAATCTCGAAGAAAAATTAATGTCACCCAAAAATTTCTTTTGTCGATGGCTTCCTTTACGAAAATGGAATGTTCTATTATTGAAGATAGACTAATGAGTGACACGGATACAATTTTCAAATTTCATTTTGACGCTTTACTGAATATTTTTTGACTTCTCATTCTGGAGACACTTGTGATACAACATGACAAATCTTGACATCTACTTTGGAAAAAGTTTAAAAAGTCATGAAAGATTACATAGATACGGTAATTTGAGCCGCAGTAGTAAATGATGTCCTTGCTCTGTTTCAATTAAAAATGCGAAATTCAATAGATACTTGTTAATGACTTGATGTAATTCTTATAATAGAAATCTATATTTAAAACAGCTCAGCGCAATAGATAATGCATTTTAATACCTCTAGATGATTAAAATGTTATTAGTAAAATTTGTTTCAACCTGTATTCAGTATTAATAGGATATGAACCACTGAATTTATGTAATGTCTTGCAAGCTTTCTTTCTTTTTTGTTTTATTTTCCAGATATGTCCATTATATGCCCATTGATACTGTCACGATGATGTCGAAAATAGAAATTCCGTGGATATTTATTCAAAAGTGGAAATACATTTTCATGATTCAAACCAAATGTTCCGTTTTTCGTTCTTCAACAAAATGTTCAGTTCTTTTATCGTGAGCAACCTAAATATGCAAAATTTTTCTGAACTTCTTATCAAGTGACTAATTCGTTGAGAACCGAGCTCATGCATATATATGGTTTGAAAATATTCATAACAACGGAAGTCGTAAGACTAATTAAATTATGTTTTGCCTGTATCTTGTTTAATTTTCTATCTCACAATCTATTTTTTGTGTCTTTGAATTTAGAACAAACGTTTCACATAATAATTTATTTTGACACTTCAGTTGTTTTTATTTTTATTTAAAAACCATAGTTTATTGTTAGAGAATTAATAAAAGTGTTCAATCCACCGCTAATCTTTTTTTCCCTAAGTCTTCTTCTTTAAGAATACAACGTTGGCATACAGACATGGAAAAACACAAAGAATATTTCAGTATTTTACAGTCTTGCCTATCTTAGTATTATAATACAAAGAGAGAAGAAATGAGGAGACATCCTCAATCTTACCATGATTAAATAGAAAAGAGCATCTTTAGTCGATACTAAGCATTTTACTACTCATTAATAGTATTCTTCTAGCAATATACTTTGTTAGCATACTTTTTAATTTCGATAAAATGATTGCTATTGAATGTTTCTCACTATATAAAAAAAGAACAGACAACTAAATCCAATAGCGTAGAAATATATCTTCGAACAAAACATTGCACACGCATCAGTAGGAATGAGCATGATTCTTTTAACGGACTTCGTACTGTGTTTTACAAACGAGTGTTGATTCGTGTGGCTTCGAGTTAACCATTGTTTTCACATATAGGTTATGACCAAGTTTATTTGTGATTCCATCAAAATAAGACAACACTCTATGTTGAAATTGAGTTTACTACTAGCTATTTTATTTCTACATTACCATAGTTGTATAGTGCTAAGTTGAGATGTTTCGCGTTTATTATTTACTTAAAAATAAAGATACTTAAAAGAAGTGTTCTTTAGACAAAAGGTTGGTATTTTAACTTCTTATATTCTTCTGCATGATACACGAGCCATGATTGAAAGCAATCGTTTGTTCTTCTCATTAGACCGTCTTAGGATGTTGAAAGAAACCTTGTCAAGATAGTGAAAACATAACGAGTGCACTTCTAAAATCTATTTGGTGGAATTTCCTATCATTCGAGAGCTTTCAAGGCGACTCAAAATACTAATGGACGGCTCATTTCTTACTTTAGTGGCAAACGATGTCTCATTAGAACTCATACCAAGAATAGACAACTTTGATTCATATGTTGAGTTAAGTGAGTTCACCTAAGTAGATAAAAATTTGTAAAAACGCGCTTAAATGAACAAAATAACGGATGACGGAAAAGGTCTCGGAAAAGTGGCGCGTCATTTTCCGTCAGTCATAACATGTTTTATAAAAATAAAAAATATCTATTCAGATTCTACATTGAAAGCGCTTTCGAACTAGCTGCTTAAAAAATATTTTATGTTGCCTTGCATTTGAATAACAGCCAGGTCTTTGAAGGACACCAAAACGTACTCTATTAAAAGCAGTCCACAATCACTGTGGTAGAAGAATACCAATATTTCAGTATTTTTCGAATATTTCCTATGCGTTTCATCATATTTTGTGGTTCTTTTATTCATTGCATTAGTCATTTAATTCTTCACAAGCATCATAGAAAATGCTATTCTATCGCTTAAAAATCAGTTCCTTCTGCCACAGTCATTGTGGATTGCTTTTTACAGAGTACATTTTAGTATCATCCAAACACGAAGCTGTCATACAAATGCAAAGCATCATAGAAATTGTTTTCAACATACAGTTCGAAAGTGCTTTCAATGTAGAATCTAAATAGATATTTTTTATTTTTATAAAACATGTTATGATTGATGGAAAATGAAGCGATATTTTTCCAAGAAAACTCGCCTCATCCGTTATTTTGATCTTTTTAACGTGTTTTTCCAAATTTTTCTCAGCTTGGATACTACGGTGTATTTTGTTTTTGATATGTTATACCTCAACCTTCGAAAAGGTCTTAGAGTCAGTTGTCTTTCAAATCTGATCGATGTTCAATGTGTATTTTAGTTTATTCTACTGCATGCATGAAGCTATTTTTACAATATTTTAGAACTATCAATGATGGTTGACAACCAAAGTTTAAACGATACAGACAGTATTACATTTGCCAGCACTGAAATTTCTCTACCACGTGTTGTTCGCTTTTGGATTCTTCTTTTATTTGATGTTCCATCTACTATTTGTACATTTTACGTTCTCTTCTGTATTCTTATTGATAAAAGATTACGTTCAGCTGTGAAGAATCATGTTCTGGTTGTTTTGCTTATTCTTGGCTTAGGTACTCAATTAATTGATGTTCCATTTTATCTCAATTTTATCGTGCATTCAAGTGTTATTCCGTCGAATCCTTCGGTCTGTATCTTGTGGTGGTTTACCGATATTGGTATGTACGATGGAGGAGCCATACTTTTAGCATGGACTGCTTTTGAACGACATATTATTGTATTTCACAATCAATGGATTTCAACAAGAAACAAACGTATATTCGTACACTATTTACCATTAATTTTCTTAATCTTATATATTTTCATTTATTATATTTATGCGTTTTATTATTTTCCATGTGAAAATAATTACGATTATACATTACCATTCTGCAATGGATATCCCTGCTATCTAAGTGATCCATTTATGGGTATGTGAAAATTAATTACCAATACGGCATTGCCATCGCTTCTCGAAGCACTTTTTAGTTTCACATTTCTTTGTCGAGTCTTCTGGCATAAATATCGTTCCCATGCACAATTGCAATGGCGGAAGCAACGGAAGATGACTATTCAGCTCATGTCTCGCTCTTCTCTGAACATGGCCATTACTTTTCCACTCAGTATGATTTATATTGCTCATCTATGTGACTTATCAGAAAATATTGGAGTCGAAGCTCAACAATATTTTTATTTTCTTTGTTATTTTGTCATTTTTTTCATTCCTTTCATTTGTCTTGCATCAATTAGTGGCGTGAACAGAAAATTTCAGGAAACAATGCTTCATCGTCAACTACCGCTTCAACGATTTACAGCAACGGTTAAACCAAAGGATCCTAGAATACACATGACTACTCAGCATTAAATAGAACATTTTAATATCGATATTGTGTTGTTTGTTTAAAGGTAAAATGTTGTCAACATGAGTTTAAGAAAAATTCATTTTATATTAATTGATCGTTGTATTTCTTCGATGTTGTGTTGTGCGCAAAATCGGAAATAAACTATTATGGATCTTGTATGGATTAAATATTTGAACAGCTCAATGGCTGCTTTTTGATTTATGGAATGAATGCTATGATATTGTAAATATCCTAGGGTATTGGGTTGTAACATAAGTTCTGCAGGTTTTTTTTATCAATCAACAAAATTTCACTGTCTTTTTCGGATTATAACCGGCTAGTTTCTGTAAATGTCTGATTGAACAATTGCTAGCAAGATGGGTCCAAGTTTCGAAAATAATGGTGATTGTATTGTTGATTGATGTTGCATATCTTTGTCGTAAAATAAATGTGTTCATTAACAACAAAACCTGCAGAACTTATGTTACAACCCAACAGGATAGTTGAACACTGATGAACTGACAACTCGACGAAAAAGAAAGTATATGTTGAGTGAAAGCCAACATTATACACTAATTTCTCATCGTTTCACTTAATCATCAATATGATAAAGGAAAATTATCTTGAGAATGTGGATCAATGTCAATGGTAGAATCATACAAACAGACGACCTAGTCGTAGCGTAACCAGGATTATACTGTATGCTGAATCTCAGCTTCAAAGTTTTTGACCCAGATAAAACTTAGAAAGAATGATATCAAATTCAAATATTGAATTTTTATGAAAACTTTTTGCGACATGTTGCAAAAATTCAAAACGTTACAACGTCTGAATGGATGCATGCTTTTAGATGAAATTTTAAATCTGTCGATTAAAGTCGATGGAGATTATGATTAGACTCTAAACAATGGAATACTACTAAAATCAAAAACAAAATATAGGTGAGGGGATACATAAATAATTTTAATTCGCAAATTCCAGTCGCAACAATAAATTTAAAAAAAAACCATCATTTGAGTCCAAAATCATTCCTCCATAAGGGTGTGGGTGGGGTGTGGGTGAATGGGTGTTGGTGTGGGGTGGGGTGTTGATGTTGATGTGTGAGTGTGGGTGTGGGTGTGAGTGTGGGTGTGGATATGGTGTGTGAGTGTTGGTGTGAGTATGCTGAAGAGAATATTCACATCCATCCGCACATACACACCCACGCCCATACCAACACCCACATTCACACCTACATCACTCACACCCACACCTTAAATGGCTGTATTGGTTATGTCACATTTTCAGCCAATTAGGTGATTTATCCGCTTATATCAAATGAATAATAAATGTAAATATGGTTCAATGCAAGACAATACTTTTCAAATTTTCTGTAAAATTGATATAGTTACAGAAGTACTTTAAGTAGACAATATTAAAAAGAAATTCGTGTTAATTTTGACATTCTCTTCGTCGCAGTGACAGTATTGGTTCGTGTATTCTTTACTGTCTTTTTGCCAACAAATTTAGTCTTTTTGCTAATTTTGTTTCTTGAAACTCTTTGATGTAACTACTCGAAAGAAGTACATAAAGCGCAAATGTAAATACTTGTGCAACATGAGAGATAAGAAATGAAGCCAGTCATATCTGTCGTTGGCATTTGTTTAATCATAAGATCATGGTGATCTATTTTGACAGAATGTGTGTCTTTCTTTTGGCTATTTTAGGTCTCATTCAGGTTTCCTGCCGTTAACATAGATTATTCTCCTTCAGAAAAAAAAATATGATATTAATCAATGAAACGAACTTTATTGCAAATAATTATTTAAATAAGAAAATGTTTTTTTTTAATTGTTCATCGAAAAATAAGAAAATTTTATGTGTATTCTAAGAGAACTTGTGAATTTGATCGAAAATGTGGATAAACCAGACAATGTTCTTCTTCTAAAGAAAACAACTGTTGGAGTTGCAGCAAAATGGAGAAAACATGTGCTATTGCATGCAAATAAATGCAGTTATATCTTGTTGCAGATACCACTGTGGACATAGAGATAACAAAGCGCCGTCTCTTTTTATAAATAAAATGAAATATGAAAAAACTAAATCTATTACGCAAAACTACTTTTTGATACCGCTCGTGTTGAGAAATGATGGTTGTTAAGATATTGTTAGTTTTTGTGTTTTTCGTTGCACGTTCATATCAACTTAATAATGGTCTTGGAAAAACACCTCAAATGGGTAAGAATGGAAATAACTAGCTTAACTAAAGTAATCATGAATAAAACATTCTTTCAATATTACTAAAATGATGTATTTTAATGCTTTCAATTATTGTCTACTGACAGAAAAAGATTTCAAGAAATCTTATTATAGGATGGAATAGTTGGAATCATTTTCATTGTAATATCAATGAAAAACTCCTTCAACAAACAGCTGATGCAATTGTAGCCGCAGGCCTTGCTGCAGTCGGATATGAATATAGTTTGTTCTTCTTTTTGTTTTTCCGTATCTCAATTATTTTTGTTGTTTTCTCTGTTTTGTTTGTAGTAAATATGGATGATTGCTGGCAAGTGAGTCGAGATGCCCAAGATGTCATTCAAGCTGATCCACAAGCATTTCCAAGTGGTATTCCTGCTTTAGCTGATTATGTTCATTCGAGAAAACTCAAGTTCGGACTTTATTCAGGTAAAATTGTCGAAGCACTGTATTTATATATGCAAATACAAATATAAATACGTCATTTGCTTCTATACATTAGATGCTGGATTCAAAACATGTGACGGGCGACCTGGTTCATTACATTATGAAATTATAGATGCAAAGACTTATGCTTCATGGGGTGTAGATTATTTGAAATATGATAACTGTAATAATGATGGAACCATTCCTGAAGTAAGATATCCTGTCATGCGAGATGCATTGAATGCGAGTGGAAGACCTATCTTCTACTCCATGTGTGGTATGTTTTATGAGCTGATCATTCTTCTTATTATATTCTATCAGATTATTTCTATGATAGAATGGGGTGTTGACACACCAGCTCTTTGGGCAGCAAATGTTGGAAATAGTTGGAGAACAACAAATGATATAGAAGACAGCTGGAACTCAATGCTCAATAATATTGATCTTGTAAGATTAGCGTATACTTTTACAATTTGTATATTTGCCTTCATATTTAGAACAACGAATTTGCCGATAAAGCAGGACCAGGTGGTTGGAATGATCCTGACAGTAAGTGAATATTTCATATTCTCTAACATATTCACAGTATTTCATGTTTATTTAGTGCTTGAAGTTGGAAATGGTGGTATGACTGATACTGAATATGTAACACATTTTTCACTTTGGGCGATCAGTAAAGCACCGCTTCTTATTGGATGTGATGTTAACAAGATGAGTAACACTACTCTTTCAATTCTTACAAATTCTGAAGTAATTGCTGTCAATCAAGATCCATTAGGTGTTCAAGGAAAAAAGGTTGCTTTTCAATCAACACAATCACCTACTGCATCCAGTGACGTAGGTATCACTAATTGTTTATCATCCACATTAAATATTGAACCAAAACGTTTTCGATGGACATATAATGCTCAAGATGGATCGATTCGCTCAGCTCTGAATGGGAAATGCCTGTCAATCGAAAGCTGCAATACTGCCGAAAGGACAAATATTGTCTTGAGTGAATGTCGTATTAATGATCCACAAGTACAATGTCAAGGAAAAAATCAACAATGGATAATTAATACAACTGATCAAACTATTGTTTCTCAAATGAATGGCAAATGGTAAGTTTTGATTCAAATCTGTCAATAGAGTGTTTGAAAACGTGAAAGTTGTGTTGTTTAGTTTGGATGTGCATAATCTTGCTGGGTCAAATGTGAATGCATTTTCCTGTAATAAACAACATAATCAACGATGGATATGGAATACAATTGATGGAAGTATTCGCAATAAGAACAGTGGTAAATGTTTAATACAGATACAGGAACTTGAAGTATGGGCAGGTCCACTTGACGATGGTTCAGCAGCTGTAGTTTTACTCAATCGAGGAAACAGTAGCGAGCCAATCACTGTTCATTGGAGTGATATCGATTTTCCAACTCATGATTCAGCTCTTGTTCGAGATTTATGGGCTCACAAAACTATTGGAGCGTTTCGTGGTAATTATACATCACCAAACATAGAACCTCATGCAGTGATGATGTTGAAAATTACTCTTTTCCAATAGGCAAACAAAATTATTAATTAACTTGACATTTGATTCAGTGAAGTGTTCTGCTTTATATTATTTCTTCTTATTTTGAAAAGCATGTGATTGAATCTAATAAGTAATCATTGATCCATTTCCATTTCATCACTTTCATAGGAATTATTTTTCAGAGATCTGAAGTATGAGATTTTTTATAACTATTTGTGTTCACTCCATATGAAATATTTTAACAGATGTATTTTTATATAAAGTGATTTTTTTTATAGGTAGAAGTTTGATCGACGATGAAATAAGAAAAGAGTAGTGTTGGTGGATAAAATTCAATCGGCTCTATGTAATTTCCCCAAATGTGAATTTGGCCAACGGTATGTTCACCATTGGCGAACTTCTCCACGAAATTCGCCAATTGGTGAATTACTAGTGTGACATTCGCCAATAAAAAACATATTTTTGTATTACTGTATTCGCCATTTGGCGAATTTCACCACGAAATTTACCAGTTTGTAATCAAAGGATGTGGGTGGGGTAAAGGGAACTTGCAAACTCACGCGCATACACACACCCACACTCACACCCTAGTGCCACACCCACACCCTTCGTAGTCTATGCCTAATAATTTTTTGGAAAATATGGCAAGTATGAAGGACAAATCTGTTGATTAAAAAAACTGGAATATGACTTGATTTTATGTATATGCATTGTTTCTAGGCTATTGTCAGTATGTGGTCTTGAACAAGATGAGTTTTCAACTTTTAGCAGAGAACTGTGTCGAGTGCAGAACCACGCGACCACACAGGTCTCATAATAAGGAACAAAAATCTTGGTCAGATCTTGCATAGAACATAGGCAGTAGGTTCCGGAAGAGAAAGAGTAGGGAAATGCTATGAAAATCAGCATCCGAATATAATTGTTATTTGAAAATAACAAGATTTCGAATTTGCTAAAATCATGAAAAATATTTATTGAAAGTTGACAAGAACTTGTAACGAAAAAAATTCAAGTTGTCAGGGGATTATAAGCAGATCTTGACAAGGAAAATTCAGAATTCTCACTTCCTCAATCATGTTTGCAACTGTGCCGTCCTCATTTCACAATGCGACAAGCGTGTCACACGACATTTTGTCTAGTAGACAAATTCACGCTCAAATTCCAAAATCTTATTGTGCTACTTCTCAACACACAAATAATTCTTAAACCTGACGCTTTATTTAGAAAAGTCAAATAGGAAACCATTCGTGGCTATTGAAGACGTTTAATTGAAGAATGAAACCGAATCGATTTCAATCTTTGCATACAATAAAACGATTTCTTACTGTTCTAGATCACATTATTATCCACATCGATTGAAAAAAGGATGCAGAAAACATAAAAGAAGATCAAAGTGTTTCAGATTGAGGCCGTTGGTATATTATTCGCGAAAAAATTTTCACTATTTTGGTTCAGGACATTTTCTATTAAATATGAATTTGACAATGGGTGGGTCAATAACTGAATTAATTTTGGGTTGTATTTACATAGGTCAATGTCCGATCCAGTATTTAATATCAATTTATTTAATTGTTCATGCTGTATGCAAAATATTTATATGTCTGATCGGAATCATGGCTATGATTCTATCAAAACATACAAAGAAAGAAACAGTAATGAAGTTCATTGCATATGTCCTTCTGACACAATGGGCATCGTTAGTGTTTTTTCTTGCCTGGTTTATTGCTGGTAATGTATGGGCACTTCAAGTTAAGCCCATCGTACAGTCAATCAATAGCACTCAATTGAACACCTTTTTTTTTTAATATAGTGTTTATTGTTCCACTAGGGTTACCAAGGAATGAGATACATGATTGTAAAAACTTTAAGAAAATAGGAACAATAATAAACTGGATCAATAAAATACGTTAAAGAACGTTGTCACTTATTTTTTCAGTACATATTGAGTAATCGAATATTTATGTCCTTATATAAAGTGCGAAAGATTAAAAATAAAACATATTGAACACCTATTGTCACCAGACAATACATAATTGCACATTTTGGATAATCTTTGAACATTATATTATTGTACCGACAATTATCTTCATTATTCTAATTATAAATCGGAAGAAAATATTCTGTAGAAAATCGAATATAACAACGCTGACTGATTACACAATGAATAATATTCACGTTTAACTATACTTACTGAGTAGGGAAGAACTATCTGAAAATATGAAACTCAAATGAAAGTGTTATTCGAGTGACATTGAAGAAATAATTATCAAGATATCCATCTCAATCACTGTTAGAAAATGCGACTCTCGCTCAATTTTTCTCCAGCGGAAACTGAAACCATTGTTTGGTTAATGACTCATCTTTCAACAAGAAAGATGAAAGATCGTCATTCACAAATGAAAATCAGAATAAAATTCTTCGATTTTCATCGGGTTCGTTCAGAGAAGAATTCTTTAGCATAAGTTTGACTTTGTTTCTTTTGAGTTTATCATTGTTTGTCTTAAGATATTTCAAGCAAAGCTTCGATTCTCGTCCAACCGAAGTAAAAAAACAAAAACAAACAAATTTTCATCAAGATACGTCGAAGAAAATCACGAAAATGTTGAATGTACGATCCCAAAGTCGATCTACAGCCGTACGACACACAAGTGGCATGATCAGGCAAAATGATGGTCTCGTTCGTTTCAACTCATGCATCGTACTTTTATATTAAGGATAGATACAAAAAACAAGTATTGAGTGACTTTTCGTGAAATTTATGAAGAACAAGTGACAGCGGATGGAGTCATCATCAGTTCTCCTTCAGTGCACGACAGAGAACAATTCAAACGAACGAAGCCTAATTTCGAGTGGTAGACAAGTAATGTCACTATCTCGATAGTTCCTCCAAGAAGAGTAATTATCGTTGTCGTTCTTTCTGGATTGGTCGTTAACGAAGAAAATCGTTGTCGACTAACAGCTGTTCATTTATTCAATTCACCCAGAAGTGCATATTGTGTATTATCGTGATCGGCAAAACTCCACACAGGTGACAAATACCAGAGACAGAATGACGAATCATTACATTTGTTCGCTGATACAGCAAGAGGATGGATTTCATCAAACGTTGTTAGTGTAGACGGATCGTCATAGAACCAAATGAGTTCTGCTTGTGCTCCGATCATCGAAGGCAATACTCAATAATCACGTTGCATGGCTGAGGCAAATATAGTGTGAAAGGTTTGATTATTTCTAGACAAAAGAGATTTTTGAGGAAGGGATAGATATAGGAGAGAGACAGACACTTACAGTATCGATCGAGTCGAATAGAGTTCTCCTTGAGAGACTCCGTTGTTTTGGACCCAGTCTGCAACGAGTGCATCGATCATAGTTATTGGTCGATCAGGTTTCAAAATGGCTCCATCTTCACTACAGCATCGCATTATTCGTTTGACGTCTGTATAATTGATTGCATCGCCCGAAGCGACCGGTCCTGTCGAGAGGGTAGCAATGAGTATTTCTCGATCTGGAACTGGTTCCATTACCGGTGCTCTGTACGGAGCTCCGGGTTCAATTGAATTCGACCAAAAAACAACTTTATATGGAGCCACACCAATCGCATCGGCCAACATGCTCGACACTCCAATTGTCCATTGAGAGTCTTGTTGACGAAGATGAACAGCATAATCATCCGATACACGTGCTTGTGTCACGCGTGGAATTTCAAGAGTCTGTAGAGCATGGCGAGGTAAGCTCATGCAATATTGAATATTAACTCCTATGTGTTCAGCTGCTTTACTCATCGATGTTAACCATCGTTGTCCGAGATGAATATCAGTACGTGTCGGTATGAAATCAATCGTTTGTACATTCAACCAATCTTGTTCGTATAGAATCAAACCCCAATTCTGAGATGCCTCGCCGAACAGATCAATCCAAAATGAATCATTACTAATCGGCAGAGCCTTTCCATTAATATGATCAATCACAAAAGTATAATTTGTCGAGTAGATCGTATCAGCTGCCCAGTAACGATTGTGTGCTGCTAAAGGAATATATTTCATTCGACGGTGGACTGCTGGGAGACCATCAGGAAAGATATCCGGACGAGATGACCACTCAGAAACATCATTGCCGATGCCCTTATAATACCACCATGAGTCAATTTGAATATAATGAAATGGTAATGAGATTTTTTGGGAAATCGATATCATTGTCTCTTCATAATTCATTTCTGTCTCCGTATGATAATAATAGTAGCCACTATTGTCTGTATAGTAGCCCAGATAATTGACGGTTATATCATGAAGACGATGTTCCATCGTTCGATTGAATGCTCGTCGCATTGATTGACCCCATTCACGCATTGCTTCCTTGACACCATGAGATGAATAGAAGACAATCATAGAATGATTATAATTAGCAGGAACTATCGACACGGAACCCATCACATCATATTCTAAGACATTCGCTCGTTGACTTAGTGAAGTGGCCATAAAGTGAGAAAAAGGTGAGAGAATGAGAACATCGCCTTGTGCTCGTTCAGCCAAATTGAAAAGAACAATAGGACCTGCTTTGATACCAGATTGGATGATTTTACTGGAAGAATCCCAGGTACCTGCATGTTTGCCCATGTCACCCATCATATAATCTGAATCGATATTCATTTCTTGATGTAATTCACGAAAGAATCAAATCAATATCTTACCTGCATATGTGAAATAGCCTTGTTGATCATTCATATCTATCCGTTCAATATTGAACGAAGGAAATACTGTTCGAACTTCGTCCATACTCAAGGAATCACTGCTCGTCAAAGGTTCATTGCCAATGTCCAAATGAAAAGTAATCGCTGAAATTGAACGCCATTGACGTACTCGACCAGTTACATTAGTCTGTATTCCACTACGAATAAGACTATAGATCAATTGAGTCTCATTCCATTCACCTAAATTCTCATCATTGCCTTGATCAAGACGTGTATCGATGAGGGGAAGTGAACCATCGTCAGATGAATACCAGCGTTCATCGGCATACAAACTTGTATGAGATGAGCGAAGCCAAACACGATCGGTAACACTTACATTGTATCCTCCTTTTACTCGATCGACTGACACTCTTATATCGCACCAACACTTCACTATCAAAACGGTGGCAAGCACCACAACACGCATTTTCAACAAAATAACAGGCAGAATGGTTGAGGTAATAGATGATGATAATATATATATAGTGGAATGTAGATATCATATAAATCTCCGAGGGGTGTGTGAGAAATTTGACCAAGTAGGTGAAAAAGATCAGAACGAAGAAAAAAAAACTTGTTGACAATGATATTTGACGATAATGGATTTTGTATGTAAGGATTCATTGTTCTCACATGCAGCTCATCCTTCTTTTACTTTTTACTACTTAATTAGTGATCTAGAGTTGAACCTATGTGATCTCTTTCTGCTTTCGAAACTGATCTGTCAATTAAATGAAACTGGATTCCATGATTACAGTCCAGTGATATCAATGTTGAGCAATAGAAATAATGATCTCACAAAAGACGAGTGACAATACCACTTTAGTGACCTGGTTTATGCAAATGCAGAAGTGCATTGCTATTGAGAGATGTTACCTTGGCAAACTATTTTTTCCTACTGATATCAATACGACGGATGGTACTAATGTCATTAGGTTTCAGTTGATGATGTCGAATGACATCTTTCCATTCAGTTTTCTATAAATCATTATCTTCGTTTTTCCATTCTGTTACAGCCGATAGTATTTCATCGGATATGCTAATGTACCGTTGAATGTAGAATGTACCAGTGACAAAATCGAGTCGAATTTTGATTTCAGCGAATTATAGATAATTTGATAGAGTCTAATTCAGCGATTCACAATATATACATTTAATGTCTTTTTAATCCAAGTTTTCGTGAAAAATACGAAGGGATGACTAATGATACAAAAGCTCCAGATTTGAACTGTACGCCATCATAATATTTTCACAAGTCCAAATGATTCGAATTTAGCATCGAATATTGAGTATGACTGGGTATATTTGACACAATTCAATCACGCTTTGTTCTCTAGACACGTTTCGACCCACGAATATTCCAAGCCTATCTTCTTTTTTAAGCCCAACACATAAAATTTCGATTTGTATACTACCGGTTCTACTTCTCTCTGATGCTGAGAAATCAAGCTATTTCGCAATTTATACCAGAATATCGAAGAATGCACTCGTATTTGAAGATTTTGACTCTCGAAAATTCATTCGCAAGGAAAATACATGTAAAAGTGAATTTTTCAGGACCAATGTTCTCAAATACGAGTGCATCCTTCGATATGTTGGTATAGATTCCGAAAAGGCTTGATTTCTCAGCATCGGAGAGGACAAGTAACGTTCATCGACATTGAATGTCGATTCATTTGCCCTAGACTGACGGAATGATGATAAAGATGTCCTTATATTTCTAAATAAAAATGTACTCTGTATAATGATGAGTTTAGTAGAAATTATTAATATTTGTACCATGCTCCATATTACATACTATAGATATATTCAAATAGTTCAAAGAAAATATTGAACAATGCTAATGTATATGATAAAGTTTATGCTTTAGTTAATTATAACCACTAACATGGTGATTTATGCCAAAGTAAAGGCCATTTCTAATACGGGCATGGTCAATTGTGAAACAGACATGCTCATTTGAGCCATAATAATGGTCAACTGTTCCATAGAAATCGTTGATTGTGCCGCGGAAATGGTGAATTGAGCCATAGAAACGATCATCTGTATAATGAAAATAGCCAACCATGTCAAATAAATGGTCGCCTGTACCACCAAAGTGGTACTTTTGTACCACGAAAATGGTCACTTGTACCACGACTACGGTACTTTGTACCACAAAAATGGCCATTTGTACCAAGTGTTACAGACAGACACAGGTGAATTTCCGTTTCTAGACCCTAGCCTTTCAGTCTAGGGAACAAGAACTCGTGGTGTGCAAAGAAGAAATTGGTGTGTTGGGCCAAAAAAGAAGATAGGCTTGCAATATTCGAGGGTCGAAACGTGTCTAGAGAACAAAACGTGATTGAATTGTGTCAAACATACTCAGTCATACTCAATATTCGATGCTGAATTCGAATCATTTGGGCTTGTGAAAATATTATGATGGCGTACAGTTCAAATCTGGAGCTTTTGTATCATTAGTCACCTCTTCGTATTTTTCACCAAAACTTTTATCGAAAAAGCATTAAAAGTACATATTCTGAATCAATGAATTACAGTATCAAAATTATCTATCATTCGATGAAACCAAAATTCGACTCGATTTTTGTTCGTGGTACATCTTAGATGAACGTCAGTTTCTAAAATGTTGAACTTGTATTCCGAATATCAAGTGTAAATCTCCTCATTATTGCATTCTGAAAAGTAGGACTATATCGAATAGGATAGAGTACCTTGCATAAGATAACAAGGCTAATTTCATCCATGAGCTATTCTGCTGACTGAACTGTTTTCTCATAGCTACAATCGATAAAAAAATGCTTCTGGTGTTGTTGTTCCCTTTGAGATGTCTAGATGTATATGATGAACAAGTACAAGTCAAATGTCGTTGGTTCTCGCCCAGTACCAATTATATGGTATCGAGATTATATTTTTAAATACCATTATGTAGCGAAGTAACCATAAAAGATAGTCACGCACCATACCCTTAACACCTGATAGGCGTATCATGCGAGTACTATTGAAAGAATCTTGAACGGCTTGAAAGCCACGTTGAAACATTTTCTCTTCATAATTACCGAGTAAACTTTGAGTTGAACCACGATGTATAACATCGGTAAGATCGAGTGCATCAGCAAAAGTCGTATTTGCGCCCATACCACGTTGAATAGTCATAAGATGTGCAGCGTCACCAATTAGTGTCACTCGAGGATTATTTGGAAATGGATTCACTTTTAAAAGTGGAGACGAATACAAACGTAAAGGTGTGAGACGCGCCGATGATAAAGACAATTCCATTAAGCGAACAATTTCTTCATTAGTGAAATTAGTACGAACTTTATCAAGTATTTCTTCTAGAGAAAGACTCGATTCTATTGTACATTCTGTTGCCCATGAAAGGGACCAAAACCAAAATTGTCCGACAGAAATTAAAAACAATGCATGACTTTGATCCCCGAGTACTTGTACAAGACTATTCTCTATTAATTGTCGAATTTGACCTAATTGTTCATTTGGTTCAAGAGTACCAGCTACTAAAACGACACCTGTATCTTGTCGACATAGATTCGGCACAAGTTGAGCTCGAACAACTGATTTCGATCCATCACAACCGACAAGCAATGTACCTTTGACCGATGATCCATCATCGAAATGTGCTTCGATTCCATCATCGACAATATTATAAGAGATAAGTCGTTTATTCCAACGAACATCGATATTTTTAGAAGATCTTGTCGTAGAACGGCTCGTTCAATAATTTTCAATTCTCCTGCAATCGTTTCCAATGTTGTTTTTAATTTTTTATCTGCGAATTTTAGTTGACATTGATTGTAGGACATTATTGTCGAATCTGAAAGAACATCATTGAGAACCGAAATACGTTTGAGAACTTCGATACCCATTGGATTAATTGTAATATAAAAGCCCTGATCACGAGCATCTTCTCCGTCATCACGTTCGAAGACAATTACTTTCAGAGACGGATGCGAATCTTGCAATAATAGTTGTGCAAGAGCCAAACCACCTAGTCCACCACCGATAATCAAAATAGTTTTTGTTTCGTTCGAAGTCTGAATCATTGTTGGTTACTTTTGTTTGATTGCTCGATAAAGACAGGCGTTAGCCTTTTTATTATCAGTAGAGGAGACCATGCAGCTGACGCAATCTGAAAACAAGATAACGTCATTTTATTTTCTACACAACAACGCAAAAGTTATCTCGATGATACGCTCATTTCTTATCTGTGAATCGTGTACAGGTGCCTGTCAAATGGATTCGATGTTTCTGTAATGATTTCTTTGCACAAGAGCACAGATCGTTTGTTCATATAGTTAGTTAAGCAAAATGATTCGACCTCAAAGTAAATCTTTTGCCGATTACAGGATTGTTGTAGGTAATACAAACGATATGAAAGACTTTCGTAAGAGAAAAGCAATTCTAAACCTTTTGCCCAGAAATCGCCTGGATGGGAATCGGTGAATATGAACGAAGTCTTTGCAAGTTTGGACACAATGAATTGGGAAGACTTGAGTGAAACCGAAGAAAAATATTTTCTAGGATCTGAGAACTATTGGCAGTACTTGACTCACTGTACTTTAAATCGTTGCTTGAAGTGTCCCACTACGATACATTCTCCATTGATGAGTTGGAGTATCTTAAACAAACGAGAAAATAGTTTCATCCATTGTTAGTACGGTCGTATTTGTCCAAGAATCGTTTCACGAAGATGGTGTATGTTCAAGTAATGTATTAGAAACAGTGATATTAATGAAGACAAAAAGGTAGGCATAATACTATTGTTGAGATCAACATTTTCTCTCACATGATAAACACCATTTGTAGTAGATTTAAACGAAAATACTAAATATCGTAGTGTATTACAATTTCCTCTCAGACATGAGTCGATCCTGGAAGCATGGACAATTTTCGAAAGTTGACATTCATATTAATGATTTCTCTGACTGAATATAGTGTTTACCATAGAAATTCAATCATGTCACGAGTTTAACTAAATATTCTGATAGGTATATGTGTGGCCAACTATACGCTTTTCTCTCTCAGTGATTACCCATCTCAGTATGTAGTTTTTACAGTATGATACATTTCGCTAAGAAAAAAATTGTCTTTAGTTTCATAATAAGATTATATTAGATATATAGTTGCAAACCAGATTGAGAGCCAGTCTATTCATTGATCGATTGTATTGATTACAATCGATTTCATCTAATGGATGCTACGTAGAGCTGCAAAAACCTCGAGATTCACTATGAGATCAGCACTCGTGACTACTTTATTCAAAATTTCTATCTACTACATTTGAGTAAGTTGACCAGTACAAAAATGTGTTCCTTTGTACATCTACTATTTCATTTTTGCTGCACATATTCGGCACGATTGTTTGAAAGAAAACAAACGTTACTTTCAAAAAGAGCCAAAAAACGTCAATGCAACTATCTTTTTCTTGTCGATAAACTGATCTTTCAAGGATAATGGATTGAGATTATTTCCTTTCAGCATTGCTCTCCCTTTTATTTCCATTTAATAACACAACACTCTATTGCCAATATTGAGCAATAGATTTTTCATGTTGTATTTTGTCAAAATGCATGAAAATGATCAAAATGAATCCTTCTCTTCTCATTCATGTTTTCATTGAAATGTAGATTTGAAAGAAAAAATATGAGTTCAAGTGTTTATTTTGCAGAAAAAGACTGATTGCAAACAAACATACGTTTTCCCGAGATCTATGACCAAGATGATAATTTTGAATATAGATATTTCCAGGTCATTCTTGCCCAGCTGGGTCTGACAGATTCTTTTATGTTCCGGCGTGTTTCTTGCCATCTGAATCGAGCAACAATTTTGCAAATAGGTTTTTTTCATGTTTTCTCAGTATTTCGACCAAATCCTGTTGGACAGTGATCCGAATTTTTCGGTTCAGAAAATAACCGTAATTCGGTTCCAAGAACATGTCAGTACATAAACAAACTGACCAAAACGACAACGGAATCGACAGGTCTGTGGACGGTTTTGGCGGTAGAAATAATCGGCCAGGGCTTCTTGCAAAAGCTGCCTATTGATAGTAGCCAAAACTCAACTGTTCAGTTTATTTTCCAATTATATCGTATGGACTTCACCATGTTAGACCTCTCTAAATGGGTTCAAGTGAGATCTGAATGAATAATTTACTTGAATATGATTATAGTAGGAACAGTTTCAAAGCTACTCAAACAACTGACAAATTCAATTTGTATTTGACACACATCCCTTCACTCATTTTATTTGACTTCACGTTAGATCAACGACTTGATCGTATTATCAATTCTATTCGGATGGTCAGCAATCGTCATAGTGCTTGCTATATATTCATCAATAAACGCAAACAGATCCATTAATCCGTACAATATGTCGACGATGTGAAGAAGAAGAAGAATTTGAAACCGATTGCTCGATCAGTGTCCCATGTAGTCGTGTATTTATTTTGAAAGAAATGCCAAATGTCACGTCGAGTAAGCCAAAGCTTGCATACACGAAAAGCTAACATATAATATTAGCAATGAGCAGATTTTCAAGAAAGAAAATTTCAGCAACATGGTTTCCAAAACGTCTATTGCTTCTGAAAGGGTGTGGGTGTGGGGTGGGTATGTGGTTGTAGGTGTGGGGTGTGGACAGGGATGCCACCTCATGAAGTCGAAAAAGCGGAAAACTGCGGAAACAAAACAGAAAAAGCGGGAAAAAAGCGGAAACTTATCTCGTTGCGGATTTTTAGCATTTATGAGGATTTTCAACTTTTTGATATCTATAGCATTCTGTGTTTATTTTAACAAAATTGCAAAACATAAAATATTGTTGAAATAAATAAGAATGACTATGCTTCACTCCATGGTATACAAAAGTACCTTCTGCAGCTGCTGTTTCTTCAACCTCCTTGTCAGATTTCATAGTTGATGTTATCAATTGTCGATTTATACCGAATGATTTTATGTTGTTGTTATATCTTTTCAACTTGATGTGACGATCAATATCATTTTTCCACCATCACATACTGAAAAATGTTCGTTAGAGGCAATACAAAGAACTTTAGCTGAATCTGGTTTATACTGTCGTAAAAATAATGCGAACTGAGGATTAAGTAGCCATTGTGAATTAAACATGCCTTTTTTTAATCTTTTGATAAGCACCTAGTATGGCTTCAATATTTTTATTTTCATTTGATTTCAGAATTGGTGATGTTGTCATTAAATGTTCACGATCTGTTTCATCATTTGCAATCTCAATAGCTTTAGATCATAAAAAAACGTTTAAATTTTCGAATTGGAAATTTTTTTGGGTAAATACAGAAGGCAAAATAATTTGAAAAGAAGTTAACTATCAGTTGAGAGCAGAATGATGTTTTTAATTCCCGAACAGACAATCAGTGCGCAAGTCCTTTACCAAAGAAAAACTTTATGTGTTCGTTCATTGATTTTATGGATGACATAATAAGAATGATGATTAACTGGATGCGTAAACAGTAAGACTTTATTCGACAATAATAAGTTTTTCTCCTAACATATTTTGAAAATACATCATCTTTTTATATAAAAAAGCGGAACAGCGGAAAAATAGCGGAAAATAGGTGAAAAAGCAGAAACTTTCCGCAAAAAGCGGAAGAGGTGGCATCCCTGGGTGTGGGTGTGGGTTTAGTAGGAGACCTTCCTTCACCCACACCCACAACCCCCCCTCCCGCCCGCTAACTTTGTCCGATCGGGCTGAAATTTTTAACACTAATACTTGGAAGTATTATTCAGAGGTAAAATCGAGCCTTTTCATTTTTGACACTCCTGCTCGGAGTTGCCAGGTCCTTGGAAACCGAGATCCGGAGCAAAAATCCAGGTTCTGACGTATTTCTCTTATAAAAAAAGAGAAAGTGAGATTTTTGAAAAAGGTTAAATTTACCTCTGAGGAATAGTCTGAGGTATCTAAAAACAAAATCTCAGCCCAATCGAACAAACATTAAGGAGGGGTGATAATGTATCAGGACGCCGGCCTCTGGAAACCAGGGTTTTTCCAGAGAACCCCACAAAAACTTACTTCAAATTTTTTTCCTCGAACACGTATCTCTTTATTTTTAGTCTTCTATCTGTGTTAAAAATTTCAGCTTGATCGGTTGTATCGTCTTTGAGAACCAGAATGTGTCAAAATAGAGGGGGTTGTACCCTTAAGAAAAGACTATTTTGGGTGCTATTAGTTGGATGAGCGTATCTCAGTTAAACTTTAACCTTCGAGTATAAGAATTTGCTCTAGAAAATGAGATAACTTTCGCCAAAATCTGAGATTATCGATTGAGCACGATCGACTATGGCTCTCGCGCAGTGACTTATAGACACGAAAAAACTTATTTATATTTCTGACAATGATATTCAGAGAATATTTTGACTGATCAGTGTTCCACAATACACATAAATTACTGTCTCTTACACGAAACAAAAAAAATTAGTGACTTCTGACATATCTTCACAGTTAGTATTTGAAACCATATGACTTGCTTATTGCCTCACTCTGAAGAAGTTGTAGACATCTCTCAGTCGCATTTTTTTAATCGTATGATTGTTTGAATAGAAGAAATCAAAATGGAAACGAAAACCAGCCTTCGATGGCTTCCATTAACTATTCATCAAAGTGAAAACCTTACGAGAATTTTCAAGTAGACATGCATTAACGAAAAAAAGTTAACATAATGTCTTATTTCAGGAAAAAAGCTTTTTTCGAATTTCATTTAATCAAATAGCATAGCTAGTGCACGCAGTAACTCAAACAACAGAAAATTAAACTCCATCATCATAATTTTTCTTCAAACTAATATGATATGAGCCCGTTATTTATCTTTGGCAAGTTTTGAAACAGATTACGTCCAGCCATAATTTGCATTCGACAAGAGTTTTTATATGCGAGTTTTGGTCGTTGAAACAAAGTTGAATATCATTTGATTAGAAATACATTGGATCATTGTCAATCACAGGAATACAAGTATGGAAATGGAGATCGTTTCATGTTTTCATACTTATCAACATTTTCTATTTAGT